ACAAATCCTGAAAAAAAACTTCTCATGCTCACTGAGCTAATGTTTCCTGAACAGGATCCGCATACGCGTCCACGGCGCTTGTAGCAGCGAGCAGCAGCAGGCACACGGCAGCGATGTACTGTCGAATATACATGTCGGTTGAGGGAATATACAAAGCATGGGCAAAATACTTGAAATTTTTTCGGAAAATAATAATAACAAAATTTACATGAAGACTTTTATCCAATTCCGACTCAGTGAACAATCGTTACATTTTTCATTAGAATAGTTTTATCTTCATGACACACACACTAAAAACTGAAATCTGGAACACAGACCGATGCAACAATTGAAAGCGGGAAATATAAGCGCTGCATTTTCTATAAGCGCTGCTACAGACGCATGTTGAGATAAACTCAAATGCTAAAGCATTTTTTTATCCTTTGAACGCAAGTAGAATGACCAAGAAAAACTTGTATCATAAGTTGTTCGCATGTCGAAGGCCATAAAAATAAAACTTGAATTTAGATCAATTTTTCTTACGGGGCTGATCGCCTGTCATTATGCTTCGCCTAAAGTTTATTCTATATAAATTGCATTTTTATTCTTAATTATATTGTAATGATATTCTCTTGTTTCCTTGAATATTTCTGAATGCGGTAAATTCAGATAACGATAAAAAAAATACCGAGGTTATTCAGCTATTAATTGAATTATACTGTATAACATCCACTGAAAGATTATTTTGCAGGCAATTTATAGAAGGTACTTGGAATGCACTGAACAAGTTGACCGACTTAAGCAGTTCTTATTCATGATAAATTATGCTCAAATATTCAAATACTCACGCGTAGGAACCTCATGACGAAGTATTAACAGCCTCGCTTACGCCGAGTTACAGCCATTAAGCATGCCAGGACTGCAGTCTTATATGTCATTTGTGCTGAGTCATGGGAAGGCGTTCGCTTGAAGAGCTCTCGTACGAACCCATCGCTCCCCAAGGGCACCTTCCAATTTGAAGATCCCCGTTTCAATATAAAGCTGATGGTAAATATTTTATTTTTTCAGTACAAAAGAGTTGTGTATGTGCATGAATTTAACTTTTTCATATAATTTGAAAAAGTTCCTATGAAACTTGAGTGGATTAATTTTGTATCATTTGACCACTTTTTTAGCTTTTGATTGGATTATTATGTATCGAATCATTTCAGCACCAATGAAATATGCATGAAACGGCTGTAGGAATTTTTAGGTTAACCCAACGTAGCTCGTTGTTTAACGAGTTGGGCCAGGGTAGGTAGTCAACTTTGTACAGCAGAGTAACGCAATATTTTTCGGCTGCGAGCATTGCTATGTGCATTCATTCACTGAGCAAATGAATTCACATACCATTCTGTCTTAGAAGCTAGGAATGAGTGACAAGTACATATTTCGACTGTTCTGTGGAGCAAATATTTGCAATTCAGAGTAAATAAATTACGACTGCTGCTTCCACTTTACCAAGGGAGGTTCTAGACAAATAGGATATGAACATTTTCGGCGAATTGTATTGTAATTTTATCGTTATTCCTTTCACAAAAAATGCTGAACTCGCCTAAAGCGTACGCTGCTGACGTGACTATCACCAAGGACTTTTATTTTCATCGAATATGTATCATTTAAAATTTATTTTTATTATTAGTTAAGTTCATGAGTGAGCCAAATAATTTACTGACCGATGAATATATAACAATTTATTCACGCTTCCAATTTCAATAATAATAGGAAGGAATTATAAATAGGAATTAATTCAATTCCAATTTCATTGTGAATTTCCGATTTTTGCAATAGGTTCAATTCTCGATAAATATAGTTTTTTTTCTATTAAATTGAACCGATAGAAGTTTATTTATTTCGCCTTTCAGTTGATTAAAAAGATTTTTGCCATTCAGTTGATTAAAAAAATCTTACAAAAGTATTTTCTAAATCTTTTTGCATTTAGAAAATACAAAGCATTCTCTAAATGCTATAAGCATTTTTCAATTAAAGTGACTAAAAAGTATTTTCTGAATTTCTTAAGGCAGATATTTGCTAATGTTGCATATACATATCTGAAAATGGATTGTAACCAATCTTAGCAAAAAAATTTCCGGCTCTACTGGTTAATATCTTTTAAATATGCGTTTCATTCATAATAATTCGAAGATACACAATGGCTCTCATTATTAATATAAAAACTGGTTCATTGTTCGGAATAGAATGAATGAAAATGTTGGTTAAAGATATTTGTGAAAATCATTTGACTTCCAACAATGTGAATTCTTCTTCCCCCGGTGCGGACGAAATAAGTTTAGAAAGTCTCTAAGCAAAGGCAAAAGGTCGAGAAGCAGAGTGATTGCCTGAATGATCAACTGCGCTGAGGAACCTTTCACTCAGACTTCCCTTGATGGTCCTGATGAAGGAACTAGTTTGTTTTGGACTTACGCAAACTCCGAAAGGAGTAGAAGGAGTAAATATTGGTTGTTTTCCTGCGCTACGTTGCTGTGGAAGAAACCAATAGTTCAAGGTCGAAATTTCGAGCGTTTTTTGTGTTTCTACCTAAGTATGTTTTCTAGATTGGAACAAACCTTAGATTCTTGGTGCACACAAATCGACCACAGATATTCTCATTAATAGCTAATTTACAAGAATTTATAAACGATCGTGCAGAGCATGAGCCCGCAAGACCATTGCTTCTTTTTTCGGTGTATTATCATTCATTTAATTAAAGTATCCCTCACATCAGTTTAAGCCTAATTCTTGTGATTATATGTATATTGTATAAACTTCAAAAAACTATTGTTCTTAGTTTAATTGAAAGGCATTAATTTTAAATAAATGAAAATTTTGCATTTTATAGAAAGGTTTATTAGAAATTACAATTATTACATTTTATAGAAAGGTTTATTTCTGTATTATTGAGTTTTTCTGTCAAGTGCTTTCCATGGAAATTTTTTCTGAGTTTCGAACGAATGGAAGCTAATTTACTGAACCTGCGTACTGGGAATTTTTCAACGTTCTTAAAGAAAGTTCAGGACCGAGATGACTCAAAATAATTCATGATTCAATCGAAAAAATGAAAGTTATTTGCTTAGTATTTAACAATTCAGGAGTCAGTTTCTGTCGTGCTTGGTTCCCGGCTGATAATTTAAACTATTAATACTGGTGTTTCAGCTTTATTACTCGCTTTCATATCATTTCAGTGTCCTTTCATTCATACTTTCAAAAAGTATGAATGAAAGTGGCCTATACTTTCAAAAAAAGTTAAGAGATCGTAAGTTCATCAGCCAATCATTGACGGCCTTTCAAGCAAAATCCACCAATCATAGATAAGAAAATAGAGCGTAAGTACTTACGTTGACTTAGCGTGTTTTGAAAGTATGGCCCCAGATAAAAAACAACACCAAATTACTCAGGTTTATTGATCAGTGAGCACCGTGCAAAGTTTGATTCCTCATCTACATGAAAAGTTACACGTCTGAATTTCTTGGAGGTGGCCGAAGAGGCGCTAAACTTTTCTCATAACTTCTCCCGCCCTGCCTGGAAGCAAGGAGCTTTTTGCTTCTTTGTAAATTACATGTGATGTGTGGTAATATTTCACCTGTTCATTATTTGACCAATATCTTTTCATCGACTGATGTGAGATTGCAAATTGAGAATGAAGCCATGTTCTAAATTGTCCTTCGTCATTGAAGGGAATTCCGAAGAAAACTTTTTAGAAATTTATCCCTTCTTTTCAAAGAAGACTTTTCGGGGACAAACTCCATCAATATTTTGATATAAAAGAAACCAATTTATATCATTACTGATGTGAAGTCAACTTCTGTTCATAAATTTTCCCTTGATGATGAACTGCTCCCAAAATTCTTAGGCAGAAAATATTGCATACTTGCCAGGCATTAATTTTCCCTGCTATTGAATTCCATGTAAACTTCAGACGAGGACAGTCTTCATGGCTTAATTCTATACTTCGATGCCCAAATTATTGCCTGTAGACCAACTACGTCACCACGCTTTCAATAACTTGTTTATTTGAATTTAGTTTATAATAATTCATTCAAAGTACAGGCCATAATCGCACAAATTGTATCATTCGTCTGTACGTTAGAATATTTTTCGACTTTTATTGCGAACTCAATCTTAATTCAATGCTTTTATGTCCCATTGAATATTACATGAATTTTCAACTAGATGCCACTCTCCTATGAATTCCTAATGTGAAAAAATTTTTAATTTTGCGATTTTTTTTGCGATCATAGTTCCGTTTTATTTCTTAGATTTCACCTCTGCTTTGTACGGACGCTCGCACTCTTGATCATATACACTAAAAGCAACCTTGCGTTTCAGTCCATCGCTTGAACTTTCACTTGATCGCATGCACGGCACCGATAACGGGTTGATAAAGCTAAATCTACAGTTCTCACCTCTTCCAATTTCAATTAATATCATTCTTTTCTCTGCAAGGCCATCGATTCGTCGATTTTGTAATTTCTATCTTAATTTTAAGAAATTTTTCGGTCGGTGATATTCACAGAAAAACTATTCTAGCTTGACTGCTATTCTACGACATTTAACTGTACGATTGCATATTATGAACATTATATCATAACTTTGCATTGCAAGTAACGACATAGTGTCATACAATTGTCTTGTGTCTATCAATTACTGATTGACTTGGTCATTTCAGTAACTGCACGACACAAGACGGGCCTCTCCCGATGATTTGGCGTGCCAGAAGCTTGTGACTACAGCTGTTTACTGACGGTCGAAAACGTTCTTGTTTTGCCTTATATTTTAATATGAACCGTGCATCTAACGAATTTGGCTGATTTTGTGATAAAAGATTATCGTCATCTATCGTCCACGCAAGAAAATAAACAAAATAAGATCCCTCTCGACGCATGGAAAGGAGCATGAAATTGATTGAAAGAGTTTTAATTAAATATTCCATGACATGTTTTGAATTATGGAGACATACTATAAGGATAATGCAAACGCCAACATATTCGTACGTCGTGACATTGTTTCCAGAGATACGTAATTATAATCAGAAGCTTCGAATCATAATTATCGAGAAAATTTCGAATTCGAACTAATTGTTATTTTCGCGCTAAATATTTCATGTTTTACTGCACGATTATTTTAAGTTTGAAATTCAGTCTGAATTTTTTAAGTCTAAAATTTGAGCAACTATTCTAGGAACATACATTTTTCTAACACAACAACAATAACAGTCATATATTATATTCCTAGATTTACACAACGGTAAAATTGCTAGAGGTAACAACAAAAAATGCATAACAATTACAGCTACCAAATTACTTCTACTTTCACCCCAGGGTGATGGTGTAGGGATTGCTGGAGGTGCTAAACAGGGAGCTCAATCTGTTTGGAAAAAAATGAATGCCATAATCTGTGATTCGTTATCTTTATGTTATTATTCCTCATCACTCTTTCCACATAGTATTTTTTAAGTTATGTCTGAATTTTCATTATGAAAAACATAAAAGTCCCCATCAAAGAGTTGAATTGAGGAATGGAATTAATGGTAAATAAAGCGATATTTTACATGGCTTAATAAACTATTCTTAAGCCATATTCATCTCTAAAAATTCATTGAATGAAGACGTAAAACCTAAATATAGAAAATATTTAATAAGACAGTGGATTTACTGATAAAATATAGCGGTATATATCAATATTATATTCAACCATTAAGTTTTCACATTTATTTTCAATATTCACTCCATCGTCGTCTCTTACCCGGTGGTGCTTGTGCTTGTGCTCGTTCCAAACGTTCCAAAAGACAACGCAGATGTCAGTGCGCTCCAAATACTTGTACTTGAGGTGTCTGTGTTTGTAAGTGACGGGAGCGACAGCTGGATTCCTGAAGGAAAAGCTACTGCTGACATGGCGCAGAGCAGCAGCAAGAGCAGGGATAACTGGAGTAAAACAAAGCCACGGTGGAGCTATTATAGACCACAAGGTGCACAGCTTCGCAAATAACACCAGCTTAAATTTAACCAATTTCATCCAGGCTTCGCGAAAGAAATATCAGAGAAATGATAGATGACGCGGTGGACATGGTAGATGAGAAAGTGATCATGCGCAGCTTTAGAAGCGACATTTGTAACTTGAATAAATTTTATGGTAGATTACATGTCAAATGAGATTATGATCACTATTATGTCAAGTCACTATAGGTGACAGCTGTAATAAAAATATAGATCATGGCAAGTGGCTTGGCCTTGGCTGATGACATGGTGATTAGGCATGAAAATTAGGTGAAGTGGGAATTGAAATGTAGATACATTTTTTCGTTGTATCATTTAATGGAAATTGAATGCTGTCGATAATTTTCATATAAAAACGCTCAATAAAGTATCAAGATTTGCAATAGGCGCATCTAATTTTTCAACGATATAACAAATTAAACAGTCATTAACTAAATTAATTTAATATTATAAGTCATGGTGATCCAAAGATGTTCTGAATCTTAAGAACTAAATTTCACACATTGTCACAGGACTATAATACTCGCCGTCTTTGAAACACAAGATAATACATGTCAGACATGTATTTTTTGTATTGAAATTTTACAAAAAAGCGGAAAATCTCCTTAAATGCTGCTAAAAAATTCTAAATTAGTTCTGTTTCTAATATATAAATCACTTTCAATGGAGGTCAGCAATATCACAACAAAGAATACATATGTATTTCAATGGCGGTTCGGAAATTGACCGTTTACTGTTTATTATTGTGCATCTCACACTTACGTTTTTGAACTTCATTGTATATTCTTCTGCTCCGCACCGAAGCAAATTTCTATGAGTTTTGTTGTGCACGCGTCTGAGGCTGCTGGACGAGTGCGTCTATAACAGAACAAGTCTTGCTTATATATAAGCCACATGCGGACAACTTTCGGTTGTAATGTGGACGACGTGTTATGTATTGACAACACTTATATCACCCGCCGATCATGTCAGATCTTGACCGCAAACAAAAGTGAAACGCTGTGTGAAACCAACACCTCATACCAACCAACATCCAACAACCTTTGTTACTTGAGTGTAAGTATTTTGCAAAGATTGAGTACTGAGATATTTGTTATGATTCCGTCTTCACTAATACAAATTAGTTTCAATCAATCTATATGATGGATTTGATGAGCTAATAATAGCAAAGAACAGCACTTTAAATATTCATTGTAAAATTGAACTCTATTTTTTTTTTCATTGCATTGGGAAAAAATGAATCGGGAAAAGTGTATGAGAATAATCAGATCGATTCAATTTGAATCATTTCTATTTAACTTCCTGTCGTAATAATATTAATGCATGGTTGGAACCCCAGATAAAGCAATGGATAATTGCATGTGTCCACTGGTGTCTCAAATCTTATGAGACTCCAGAGCCACTTTTAGCGATACAATACCGTAGCAGCGACGATACCGAGTCTGGGGCGTCAACGATACCGGGACCGCGGCATCAACGATACTGGGACCGTGGCATCAACGATACCGGGACCGCGGCATCAACGATACCGGGACCGCGGCATCAACGATACCGACCCTAAGGCAGAGACGGTGGTGATAGAGACAGCCGACAGGCACAAAGTAGCGAAAACAGAAACAAAAACACTGACATGATGTAAAGAGAGAGAGCTCAATGCCCCGGAGAGAGCTGATGTGAAAAAAATACTTATAGTTATAATTTGATCGGCTAAAACATCATTTCGTGTAAAAAAATATAAAATGAAAAATTTTTGATAAACAATTATGGAAAAACTATAACGCAAGTCGTTAACTATCGTTTAACATCAACCTTGCCTTTTCATGACAATGTTTTTAAAACAATTCTCTGTGTATTTGGCGAAATTTTCGCCAAATTCTCACTAATATCTGATAATCATGCAATTGGTTCTCATTGAGAGCCCCTACAAGACAATAACTAAATTTTACCTAGTCCAAGTTATAGTTACCTTTATTTTTATAAGGCCTTTTTTATATTATTATCATATCTTTCAAAAAGAGAGCTGTACTTGGCATTAAACGAGTTTATTTCACCGAAAGAGTTGAATGTAAAACTATGCTGTTCATTTTTTTATAAATGAAATCACCTCAACTTTTAACGCAAATTGTAAGTTGTTGACGAAGCCGCCGTTTTTTACGTTTTTAGAATTTACTAATAATGAAGCGCGTGATAACATTTTTGTATTGGCATGAACTTGTCAAAAAAGCTATAAGACAAGAAGCTAGCTAGTGGCGCATACAGACAAAAAACTGCGGCTATACTCTCAGACCTGTTCCTCTTATATCCTACATCAACTTTAATGGCACAATTGTTTTATTGGATGGATGATTTTAGATGCCCGGGTAACTGCTCGACATCAAGATTGACTTCAATAAAAGCATTATCTACGATCGACTGTCAAGAGCTGCATAAAGCCCATAGGGTGCTGTATGCATTATTGGTTGTCTTGCCTTTTACCTCAATCAAAAAGATTTTTATTCATTTAATTTTTCTAACTTCTTGAGGACGTACGTAATCTGGGGTGAAGGTGGTGTCGCTTTTAACATAAATAACCGGTTATTATACTAATTTATAGGTCACTGTATCCTATTAAGGACTTCTTTATATGATAAACGACTTTCCGAACTTCTTGGGACACACGCTTTGAGTGCCCCCACGAAGTTTAGAAATAAAAAAAATGCAAACTTTTAATTGTGCACAAGGCCTGAGAGACTTGACTGATGACTTCAACATAAATTGCTCAATATATGCAAAATTTATTGAAAAAATTCTCGCTCAGAATTAATTTGAATTCAATTGTGATTTAGGCTTTTACTGTCATCAAATTTGATCGTGTGTTTTGTCAAGTTTTTCGAACAAAGCTGCTATATCTTTGAAAATTCATTTTCATCTTGAGCTCCATTTCATATTTTGATATTTTAGGCTGCACCAATTCCCCATGAATGCAAGCTGCAGATCAGTAACTGTACACGAAAATTTTTAGCCATTTACGCGTGGGTGATTTTTTGCAAGCATTGCGCATTCAATTTAAATCCCTACATTTAGTCTTGAATAAATAACCCTGATCACAAGGTAGCAAAAAAATTGAGAGGTATCCTATTCCGTATTGTTATTTATTTAGAAACGTTTAAATTTATATGCAACAGAAACGCTTAGATAAATGAGAAGTGACTATTTCAAATGCGACTACATAAAAAAATTATATCATAGCAATTTAGCTCCGCGTTCATATTTAGCGGAAACCGATGCTGATTCTCTTTGTCGGGCTATTTGTATAAAAATAATATGAATTCGGCATAAAGTTGTATCGAAACATTTTTAATGTCGAAATTTCAGGCTCCCTAGCTGTTATGCCATTTCATCCGCCTCATTCAAGAAAAATTCTAGTTTTCGTATTAGTATTGTTCAGAACGTGAATGTACGAAATAAGGCGTTTCAGTGATCAACTCCATCAATAATATGCTTACAATTTAAGAACGGCAATGACTGCACATGAAGTTTTTTCTTACGTTGGGGCCGTCTATGATGATGTAGAGACGATCGAGATAACGATGGGCTTTGGCTTGGCGACTGCTGTCATGGCGCACAATAGCAGCACAAGCAGAGATAACTGAAATAAATGAAAAAAGCCTGGTCGGTAAAAATTACATGGCATTGAGACAGAACATTTTTCATATTGTGGACGGAAAAATTTTATATTTACTATTTAGTGGAATAAATATTGATATATTCTTCTGTAGATATTCCAATAATAGTAAAGTTATTGATGATACAGGCACAATTCCTTTAATTTCTCAAGCATTTCACTCTCGAGGCTTAGCAATTGAGGCTTAGAAGAAATTTCCGAACAAATGGGCGTTCTTCATTGTATTAATTTTTTTATTATATACAAGAAAAATGTTGCGAGTGTGTGATGAGTTAGAAATTAGTTGCATGACATGAAAATGCAATAATTACAATTCAATTTCTATGAGAGATTGACTAATTTGGATCAATTCATATTAGTTTGATCACTAATGACATTAAATTCAATTGTGTTAGACAGCTCCCTGAATCCAAATTATTAATAATCGTTAATCGTTAACCTATTTTCGCAGCTTGCGCGACTCTTGCTACCAATAATCTAGAACTGCATGATGTGCTGCTTACAATATCGAGTCTTATGACTTATAACTCACAATGTTTAGTTGCTTGATTCCCTACTATAAACAATGTTGAGTTGCTTGATTTGCTACTATAACAATGTTGAGTTGCTTGATTCACTACTATAACAATGTTGAAAATGTTGAGTTGTTTGATTCGATACTATAACAATGTTGAGTTGCTTGATTCGATACTATAACAATGTTGAGGTGCTTGATTCGCTACTATAACAATGTTGAGTTGCTTGATTCGCTACTATAACATGGTTGAGATTCAACGTTACTTACAATATTGATTTGCTCGACTGGCAGTTCGATGACATGTTATCCAGAATTTTGAAACATGTTTTGAAATCCAGAGTTGTATTTATTACTTATAATTACGACCTGTACGAATAATTTATTACAATTTTTTAACTACATGCCTTATAATGTAGCTAGTGCAATAGTTTTAAATGTTGCGGATGTATCAGTAGTCGTATATCAGTATATCAAAAATATGTGTGAACAAAATTCGTCATAAATGTTCTTCAACAAAATGTTGTGGTAATGTAGACAGATTATGAACATGATACTGACAATGATGAACATGATACAACATATGTCTCCCAGAAAATGGTCACCAATGTCATTATAATGGATTTTAGGCATACTCTGACAGCTCGTCAGTTGTAATTAAGTAATAAGATAGTTATATTCTGCCCATTAAGTAGAAAGTTAAAATGCATCAGCCGTTAATATGACATCTTTATTGAAAGGGAATAGTCATCGAAGGTACGAAATAATTTGTCACCGAAGTCGAAATTTCAACATGAAATCAATGCGAATATTTAATAGTCTCATATGCTGAAATATTAGCTGATAATCCTACCTAAAATAAAATTTAATAAAATTATTATGAATTAAAATTAACTTTTTAACAGATATGAAATAAATTTTCGTGGTTCAATGAAAGTCAAAATCACGACGGATAACGCTTAGTCCTGACAACATCAGGCATCCGGACATTTTCATCTAAAATGTTCCGGCGTCAATTTGCCTAAAATCAAAGCATTTTTCTAAAGCAAATTTTATTATGTGTTNATTGCTTAAATGTAGCGCCGCTACCGCTACTGAAAATGTAGCGCGCTACATGACCACCTCTGCGTGTAGCAGGTTTACTGGATGCAGCAGATTTACACGTCATTTCTGGTTAACCTGGAGTGAATGAGACACTCAGTGTAGCAGAGTAAACGTGGAAAGATAACTAAGAATTTATAGATAAAATTTTTATCCAATGTGGTAAAACGCTGAAATGAAAATTTGATGGTCAAGGAATTTAGGTTCAAATCATCATTTGAGGTGGTATGCAAACAAAGTTAAGTTTGCAAGTATTTAGCAGTTAGAACATAACAGATTTATGAAAGAGAAATATGATTTGATTATGTGGATGAATGACAATGAAATTCTGACTCGTGGAAAGGAAGTTCAGCCATAGTAGCTGACCTGCTCAAGATATAACGTCTAAATTAATATCTACGGAATTATGTATCTCTAACCTGTTTCATCCAGTGGTGGTAACAAGGATAATAAGAGCAATAATTGTATAATAATAATAATATTCAATAATATTTCAATAGTTGTAATAGCAAAGCATGAACAACGCTGCTCACCTGCTCAGAGTAGGAGAACTTGGTCGAAAAGTTTTTCAGAAGACCC